ACAGAATCACTTTTCTTCCGGTCGCCGAAGAACAGATTCGGCAAAGCTTTTGTTGCATGCAAAGTGCAACGATAACCCGTTTAGAATAACATTCATAGGATCGAATAAAAGGGTTTCGTCTTACTTTTTCTCTCTATGCTTAGGGCTTGGGCGAGAATACTTCAAATATCCATCCCATGTAACCTTTCTAAGACCGGCACGAATGGATATTATGTCTCTGACCCTGTATATAAAGGATGTCAGCTGAATCGAAGGTATTGCTTCTCTAGAGAAGATTTCAAACGTGTTAATCGGTGATCTCAACTACCGATTCCATTAATAAGAATGGAACTAACCTTTCCGCAAACTCGGTGGCCGTTTCTCCTGGCCTGAGATTCTGGGGCTCTAGGTACAAAACATCACAAACAACGGCCCAGGATGTCATAAGCTGCAACAGATGCATTGTGAAGGACTGCCTGTAGGAAATGGATATATCGGTAAGACTTCAGGGGTATCATAACCACATAATGTAAAAGCATTTATATTTGTGCAGGACAGTTGAAGACTCGGGGATTGATTCCTTACTTCCGGCGATTCCAGAAACCGTCAACAAGATTTTATTGTACTTTATTGCGATCGGGCAAACTGTGCAGCGGAGTTCGAACGCACGCTAAGCATCATCAAAGAACAAAGATGTCAAAGAATTAGGATATTGCTTTTGGCACTAAACTTTTAATACTTACATTCTAGCGCTACATTTTCCAGATAGCCAATCATTTTCCATCACCCATTTCTTTTGTGACAGGTTAGTGTCAAAACATTCACATTTCACTCCTCTTTCTTCTTCTATGATTGATTTTCCCTGAAACCCACTAAAAATCGATAAAATTTCATTAAAAAATTTCATGTTCTAATATTCTAATCTCTTTAGACGACCATCCAATTAGACTAGTTTTGAGTTATATTATTCGTCTCCTCAAGATGAAGTTTCTCACTATTCTATTTTCGAACAAACACCCTAAATCCTTCAATTATGAGAAACGCCTAATAATAATAGTTTTTTTTTTTAATTTTGTCGTGAGTTTTGTGAAAAATCAATCTTAGAAAAAGAATAAAGAGTAAAATACAAATGTTTTGATATTAACCTTGATGTGAAAAACTACTGATGATAGGCAATGATTGGATGTCTACAACGATCGGAAAAATGTAGTGACAAAAATGGAACCGTAAATATTTTAGTGGTAAAATTGATACATCCCTAAAAATTTAATGTATAAAATGATAACATTTTAAATTTTAATAATAATTTTAAAATCGTGCATATGTCTCTTGATTGAGATCCCATTTTTGATGGAGCTTTGACTTTTCCTTTAAAATAGATTAATAAGATCATATTTTGACTATAGCCAGCCATAATCAAATTATTTAGATTATCAGATATTCGACTCTTGTATCGCAATACAATCTCTTCACAGCAAATTATCTTCCCGAATCATTCAACTAAAAAAATTTATTAATTTAAACCAACTCACACATACACTCATTATTATTTTTGGTCGAATTTTGTTGTTAGTATTTATATTAGGTATAAGTTTCGAATTTAATTTACACTTCGATGGTATGATTTAATCAGTTTTAATCTATGTATCTTTTGAATTTTGAAATTTCAGACCTAACCTAAATAGAAAAAAGACAATAGGATTAGGGATAGGTATGGATTAGGTCGAGCTAGTTTTTGGTCAACCTGAATATGATCTGAGCATTCCACTCATTCACCCGTCACCTAATCCGATTCTAATTTAGGAAGATTCCATTCGACTCGAAAATCAACTTGATTAAAAGTATGCATTTGACTCGATAAAAATATATTTTTATTAGATAAAATAGGGATCTAATAGAAAAAATAGAATAAGAGGATATTATTGTAATTATCCCTAAATATATAGGAGATAATTATACTATTTCCTGGATGGGGTCGAATTTTCACTCATGACCGATCTTATCCTTAAAAAATCTAACTCAACTCAAACCTAATTTTTTTCTTAAAAAAATCTCGATCTTAAAAGATCATATTAGGTTAGAATTCATCGATTAGCTTAGAATTCATCGCGTTAGAGTTGCATACCTATCCCTAAATAAGACTAAGTCATAAGGAATCAAAACGATCAAATTAGAGAACATAAACTAAACCTACAAATTATGCGTAATACTAAAACTAATAAAAGAATCGAACTTATCAAGTTTAACACACTATACTCAAACCAAGATTGAAATTTTAAAATTATACGAACTTAAAATGATTATTAAGTGGTTAGGGATTAAATACACAATTTACACATAAAACAAGGAATAGTAGAATAATTTGACTTGTTTTTTATATTTCAGGGAAATTTTATAATTTATGTATTATTGAATTAAATATAAGTAGAAATTATCGATAATCAAATAAATGCTATTATCAGTCGATGTTGGTGAAGTGGTAAGTAGATTGATATCATTTAAAAAGGTCTCGACTTTGAATTATTGTGCATACATAAAAATTTTATTGAAAGATTCATCCATCAAAACTAAGTGTTTTATACGAATCGATTTGAATTAATCAGAACCAAACCTAGAAAACAGAAAGAACAAAGTGCTCACCATTACTGTATAAATCTATTCATCTAATATTTCATAAAAAAAATTCTTTTGATTGTGGATTTGATTTCAAGTTATTCAATTTTTTATAATAACTCAAATAAAATTATTTTATTACTTTATTATTTTATTATCTTTCATTTATTGTTAATTATGTTAAAGGATTGTTCATAAATAATATCATTTAATTTTTATTTGATTGATAGTAAATGTTAAATTCATTATTAATAAATTCAAATAATTGATAAAGAATATCATTTTAATTTTTATTTGGTTGACATTAAATTTGAAGTCCAATCTTAGTAATCTCAATCGAAACTAAATTAAAATTTTTAATCTCCTAAAAGATTTACATAATTCAATTTTGAGATGATTTTGATGGTTGACAATAAAGAAGTTTTAGATTTTAGTTTTGATTCATGTTTAAAGGGATTGAATGGCTTTCTAACAAGTTTGAATTGCAGTAAAGCAGTAGTTTGATAATATTTTCGATCAAATAAATCATCAAGCGTCGAAACGATGCGATGGTTCAATCGAAACTAAAAATTAAAATTTTTTGATATGTCATTTTTAACTATCACATTAGTTTGAAATCAAACTATATAAGATCTTCCCACCATTGATATTAGCAGCAGTGACGGAACTTCATGGGGACCAAGGGGAGCTTTGGTCGTGACTGTCCCTTTTATGGGGCCACAACCGGGTAGGTACGCCAAGGCCAACCATGTATAGGGCCTAGTGGCAGGGTAGAATAAGCTTGTCCTCTTTTCAAGCATTTCAATGTTATAGGTATGGAGTGGGGGTATGACTTACTGTCCCCTGTTCGAGCATTTCAACGTCTATAGGTAGCATTTCTGTTATTTTGTTTTTGCATATATGTAGGGGGTGGACAGCCGGCAGAGTTTGGGCTGATCCACAGGTAAAGGTACGTGTCTTGTGAACACCATCGAGGGCCGCCCCTACGGCCTAATCGATGGTGTGGGTGAGTCTTCTGTAACCCGATGTTTCTTTTATTAATAAAACATTTTTCTCTCGGAGAAGTTCGGGGGTTGAGGTGTGCATCCGCTATGCCCCACGGGCTCGGATTATTGGTCGAAGGACCATGTGGCTATAAAGATCTAACGCGATGTTTGTTTATGCTTGATCAGATCTACGAGATTAAGGCTGACTTGGTTGGGAAGCGTCCCTTTCGAGTGGCACACGGATTAGCAACCGAACCAACTAGGCTAAGTCCGTGACACTTGGTATCAGAGCACAGAGGTGCGTGTTCATTTACTAAAAGCACAGAGGTGCTCATTTTGTTGAGTAAAGCATGATAGTGCTTGTTACCTGCTTGTGGCACAGCTGTGCACAAGTGGTAAACCTAGCACAGAGGTGCTTCGCCTCAGGCCGCAGCACGGAGGTGCTCGGTCATTTGTAAAAGCACGGAGGTGCTTGATTTTAGATTGTAGCACAGAGGTGCAAATCATTCCAATGCACAGAGGTGCCAGAATTTAGATTGAAGCACAGAGGTGCTCAGTCATATTTGGCTGCACAGAGGTGTCAGTCCTCGATTGAAGCACAGAGGTGCTCAATCGTCTTAGCTACACAGAGGTGTCAGCTCCCGGCTGAAGCACAGAGGTGCTCAGTCATTTATTTTAACTGCACATAGGTGTCAGTTCTCGATTGAAGCACAGAGGTGCTCAATCACTTTTGGCTACACAGAGGTGTCAGCTCTCGATTGAAGCACAGAGGTGCTCAATCGTTAATTCTAGCATAGAGGTGCTATGGATTCAGCACAGTGGTGCTCTTTTCCTTCCTAATTTAGGCACAATTGTGCTTATTTGTGTTACAGGCATAGAGGTGCCAGCGAGTTACAAAGAATGGTTCGCACACGAAATGGCGGAGTAACAAGCTCTCACAGAGGTGTAGAGCAGGAAGTTACTGAGCCGGTTGCACCGAGAATGGTTCACACACGAAATGGCGGATCGACAAGCTCTCACAGAAGTGTAGAGCAGGAAGATACCGAGCCAGTTGTGCAAGAGACTGGTTCGGTTGATCGACGAAAGCTAGAAGAGATCGAAGCCGCACTAGCGGCCCTTAGAACTCATATGATATCTGGTGATCGTATGAGGAGAGTAGAGGAGACCCAATAATATTTGCTCGAGACATTGACTGATTTGGGCAATGAGGCAAGAGATGCCATAGGTGTGATACAACTTGGGTATGATGACCTGAAGGCTCAAGTCAGTGTGCTTCAGGCAGCGGTAGCTAGTTTGACCGCAAACCCTATTAAAAGAGTGGGCGTACGAGCCAAGATCCCTGATCCTTAACGCTTTGATGGAGCGAGGGATGCTAGAGAGCTTGAGAATTTCTTATTTGACATAGAGCAGTATTTTCGAGCTATGCGCACGGAGTCTGAGGAAGATAAGGTGGCAATGGCTTCGATGTATCTAGGTGGTGACGCCAAGTTATGGTGGCGGTCCAAGTTCAAAGATGGAGTGTGCTCCATTACGACTTGGGATGCGTTAAAGAAGGAGTTGAAGACCTCCTTCCTCCCCGAGAATGTAGATTACAACGCTCGTAAGAACCTAAGGGAATTATCCCACACTGGACTATACGGGAGTATGTGAGAGAGTTCTCAACCTTGATGTTGGATATAAAGGATATGTCAGAAAGAGATAAGTTGTTTCATTTTCTTGAAGGGCTCAAGCCATTGGCTAGACTCGAGTTGCAGAGACAGAAGGTTCAAGACTTGACAGTAGCGATAGCTGCTGCCGAGTGCCTTAATGATTATAACGATCATCCTGGAAAGCGCAAGACACCTTCTGTGAGTGGAGCTAACACCCAACAGGTTAGTGGGAACAAGTTGGCTCGATGGGAGAAGACATCGAGTTGGGGAGCAAATAGAAGAGTCCCTGGAAGGGACCCAGCTCAAAATAAAGTCCATACTGGTCCTGGATCGAGCAATGGAGGGAATAGACCCTCGTTAAGGTGTTTTCTTTGCAATGGACCCCATCGGGTTGCAGAGTGTCCACAACGAAGTGCTTTTAATGCCATGGTTGCAACAACAAAGGACGGAGAAAGAGTGAACGCTCCGATGGGAGATACTGAGCTTGAGCCGGCTAGAATGGGCTCCATCCGATTCATAACTGCATTACAGTCTCAGTTGAGTAACTTGAGGAAAGAACCAGAGAGGGGATTGATGTATGTGGACATCTCAGTAAATGGGAAAACCTCTAAAGCTCTAGTCGACACAGGGGCCACAGATACGTTTATCTCTCCTGAGGAAGCGGAGAGATGTAAGTTGATTGTCACCAAGGAGGTGGGACAAATGAAAGCAGTTAACTCTACCGCTTCAATGATATGTGGAGGTGTGAAGAGGGTCAGTATCAAGCTTGGGTCTTGGGAAGGAAGTGTAGATTTCACTGTTTCCCATATGGATGATTTTGACGTGGTATTAGGGCTCGATTTTATGATGGCAGCCCAGGTGATTCCTGTCCCCGCATCAAGTTGTTTAATGTTCATAGGGGAGCAGCCATGTGTGGTACCAGCTACGATTCTCCCTCGTCCTGGGAAGAAGATATTGTCCGCTATCCAATTTAAGAGAGGGGTGAAAAAAGGGGAGCCCTCCTTCTTAGTCTTTCCAATTTCCAAAGAGGATGACAATCTTGGCACGGTGCCCAAGAATGTTCAAGAAGTACTGAGAGACTTTGAGGATGTAATACCGGGTGAATTGCCGAAAGAGTTGCCCCCTAGACGGTTGGTGGACCATGAGATTGAATTAATTCCGGGAGTAAAACCTCCTGCGAAATGCCCATATCGGATGAGTCCTCCGGAGTTGGCAGAGTTGAGGAAACAATTGGATGAGTTGCTCCAAGCAGGATTTATTCGACCCTCGAAGTCACTTTTCGGGGCGCTTGTGTTATTCCAGAGAAAACATGATGGGAGTTTGAGATTATGTTTTGATTATAGAGCATTAAACAAAGTGACTGTCAGGAAATAATATCCCACTCCGTTAATTGCCGATTTGTTCGACCAGCTGAGTAATGCTAAGTATTTCACGAAGTTGGATCTCAGGTCGGGATACCATCAAGTGAGAGTGGCCGAATGGGATTAGCCAAAAACGACATGTGTAACTCGGTATGGAGCATTTGAATTTCTTGTTATGCCTTTTGGACTAACCAATGCTCCCGCTACTTTCTGCACTTTGATGAACCAGGTGTTCCATGACTATCTCGATAAATTCGTAGTCATCTACTTGGACGATATAATGATTTTTAGCACTTCTATAGAAGAGCACTTGGAGCATCTTCGGTTGGTGCTGACGAGATTACGGGAAAATCGGTTGTTTGTGAAGAAGGAGAAATGTGCTTTTGCCCAAACGCAAGTCCAATTTTTGGGTCACATCATTGAACGAGGGCGCATTCGTATGGATAAAGAGAAGGTGAAGGCTATCCAGGAGTGGCCGACCCCACAAAATGTTAGTGAGCTTAGATCTTTCCTTGGTTTGGCCAATTATTATAGACGATTCGTAGAAGGTTATTCTCGTAGAGTAAAGTTACTCACTGATTTGCTAAAGAAAGGCTGTGAGTGGGTTTGGTCCAATGACTGTCAAGAGGCTTTGACGATTAAAGAAGGTTGTAATCAGCGAACCAGTGCTTACCTTGCCGACCTGGAAAAACCTCTAGAAGTAGAGACAGACGCATCGACTATGCAATTGGAGGGTACTCTTAACAGGACAAACATCCGTGGCGTTTGAGAGTAGGAAGCTAAATGAAACTAAAGCGAGATATACGGCTCCAGAGAAAGAACTTCTCGTAGTAATTCATTGCTTGAGGATTTGGAGGCATTATTTTTGGTTCCAAATTGTGGTAAAGACCGATATACAGCAGTTAGCCACTTCCTTACACAACCGAAACTGACAGCAAAGCAAGCTAGATGGCAAGAGTTTCTGGCCGAGTTTGACTTCAACTTTGAGCATAGGCGGGGAAAAGAATCAGGTTGCTGACGCTTTGAGTCGCAGGGCAGATTTGGTAGCACTCCGATGTGTGGCCCTATATTCGCTAGTAGAGTGTCCAATGAAATTCGTCAGCTCCTTGTGAACTTTCCAAGCAAGATCCGCAAGTGGAGGCCCTTATGGAGATGGTTAAAAAGGGTGGTGTTCGAAATGTTTTGGATAGAAAATGGCTTATTGATGACAAAGGCCACGAATGTTTATTCCTCGAGCTGGAAATCTACGACAAAAGTTGTTGAAGGAATGTCATGATACCCATGGGCCGGGCATCCTGGTGGAGGCGTACTGTTGCTTGTTGGGACAAGGGTATTATTGGCCTCAAATGCGCCAAGATATGATGGATTACACCAAGACATGTCTTATCTGTCAACAAGATAAGGTAGATCGACAGAGGACTGCTGGGTTTGCTCGAGCCACTACCAGTGCCCGCCCGACCTTGGGAGAGTATCTCCTTGGATTTTATATCACGCTTGCCTCGAGTAGGAGATCTTGGATCAATTTTGTTGGTAGTGGATAGGTTCTCGAAGTATGCCACTTTATACTAGCATCAAAGTATTGTTCGGCGGAAGAGACTGCTAGTTGTGTCAAACATGTGGTGAAATATTGGGGCATTCCTCAGAGCATAGTCAGTGACCGAGATGGAAGATTATTGGGAAATTTTGGAAAAGATTGTTCCAGTTATTGGGGACACAACTCAACTTTTCGTCGTTACCACCCTCAAATAGATGGTCAGAGCTGAGCGATTAATGACTCTTGGAGGAGTACCTGAGGCACTTTATTCAGGCCAATCAGAAGAACTGGCCTCCATTATTGGATGTGGCGCAATTATGTTTTAATTCACAAAAGAGTTCGTCTACTAATAAAGCCCTTTTGAACTGGTGACAGGTCAGCAGCCAAGACTTCCTCACACTGTGGATGAGACCTCTCAGGTAGATGCCCTCGTGCCTCAAATTTTGTGGGGGATGGAAGCAGAATATGGAATACGGGTCCAGTCTCAATATAGCAAAGTGGGGAATGCTTCTTACAAAGTTGACCCTACTTGGATACGAGTTCACCTGTCTTCCATGTGAGCAATTTGAAGCCGTTTCACACCGATCCCAATATCGATAATCAGAGTAGTCTGCCAGGGAGTCAATCGGCACACAACCACCCTCACAGCGTCATGTTGACGAGATTCTAGTAGGGAGAATTGTTAAGGTGGGAAAGCAAACGGGAGTATCTAGTCAAGTGGGGAGGCTTTGAAGAGAAACACTTGGGAAAGAGAGTATGATCTCAGGGCATTCAAGCAAAGATTGAAGAGTTTCAGGCCAAGCAGTCGACGAGGACGTCGACAAATTAGGTGGGGGATTGTCGTGACCGTCCTTTTAGGGGCCACAACCGGGTAGGTACGCCAAGGCCAACCATGTATAGGTCCTAGTGGCAGGGTAGAATAAGCTTGTCCTCTTTTCAATTTCATGTTTTAGGTATGGAGGGGGTATGACATACGTCCCCTGTTCGAGCATTTCAACGTCTATAGGTAGCATTCTGTTATTTGTTTTGCATATATGTAGGGGGTGGACAGCCGACAGAGTTTGGGCTGAGGTAAGGTACGTGTCTTGTGAACACCATCGAGGGCCGCCCCTACGGCCTAATCGATGGTGGGGTGAGTCTTCTGTAACCCGATGTTTCTTTTATTAATAAAACATTTTTCTCTCGGAGAAGTTCGGGGTTGAGGTGTGCATCCGCTTGCCCCACGAGCTCGGATTATTGGTCGAAGGACCATGGCTATAAAGATCTAACGCGATGTTTGTTTATGCTTGATCAGATCTACGAGATTAAGGCTGACTTGGTTGGGAAGCGTCCCTTTCGAGTGCCACACGGATTAGCAACCGAACCAACTAGGCTAAGTCCGTGACACTTTGGTCCCCGCCAATTATTTTTTTAAGTGTTAATTAATATTATATATATAGAAAGCAAATACAGAAAATTTTACCAGCCCCTAAATTAAAAAGAATAGTGTTTATGAAAAATAATAAAATATTTAACATCGCTATAATATTTCGCCCTTGATTAACTGGTGATCGTTCCTTTCATCGAAAACTCAAACTTTGTCGGCTATGAATTAGGTTTTTGACAAGAATACTTTAATGGGGCACATTGGCATTTTAAACAGAAATGATCACAAATCAAAATAATAGTTAATTAAAACGTCCGTGATTGTATTGCGAGTTTAATAAGTTCATTGACCAAAATAAGCATTCTAAAAGTTTAGGATCTAAAGTTTTACCCCATTACTTATAAACTAGTTCTCATTCAAAGACCTATATAGAGGCATGAAAAGCATACAAATGAACATATCACATAAGCTAATAGCAATGGAGAGGAAGGGGCCATAATGGGAGCTGGTATAAGTGGCCTTCTGGCCTGCAAATACACATTGTCAAAGGGCTTTCATCCCATAGTTTTCTAGTCCAAAGCTCTGTTGGTGGAGTTTGGATCAAGACCGTCGAGTCCACAAAGCTCCAAACCCCTATACCACTTTACCAGTTCTCCGATTCACATGGCCGTCTTCGGTCACAGAAGATTTCCCTGACCAGCACAAGGTGTTCGATTACATTAATGGATATGCAAAGCATTTTGATCTGATTAAGCACACAAGTTCAACACCAGAGTCGTTAGTATCGAGTATGAAGGTCCGGTAATGAGGAGATCCGAGCTTGGAGTTCATGGGGTGGCAATGGTGACCCCTTTGGTTCCAAAGGGAAATGGAAGATCATTGTTGAAGACTTGGAAACACTTCTAACTGAGGTACTTTCATTAGGGGTTTAATTAAAGTATAAAGACTAATTTAATTCAATATTTAATCTTTAAACTTAATTTGACCTCTCACTCCTATAATAATATTAATTAGTCTAAACGGTTGACACAATATTAATTATCAATTAAAATGTTGATGTGTTTTCTTAAAAATATTCATTTGATATAAAAAGATTCCACGGCATAATGACGGGTAAGAGAAAAAACCTCATGTCATATCACATGTTGAAACGAGTAATTTAAGATGACATGTTAACTATTTGGACTAATCAGCGATTAAAGATGATAAGTTCAGATAGATTTTTGATCGACTTAAACTCGATTTATTATTATAACAATAAAATTTGATCCTGAATTTAGAAATGTTTTATCTGATAAAAATTTAATTAACAATCGTATCCAATTAACATAAAATTAAAATAAATTTTAATTTAATACCATAATTTGTGTACCTTATACTAATTTTGAACATTTTTATCAAAATCTAACTAATAATATATAATATATAAAATGATATTTTCATAATTATTTCAAGATAAGATAAAGTCTTCATAAATCAGGATTCGACAAAAACATGACTCAAAATTTGAAATTTTAATAAAATTCCATCCTATCGAATTAAATCTAATCAAAATCATATCAAGTATGTTTTTTTTGGGTCATCCCTACTAATGAAGTTGTAAAAGTAAAGTGATCAAATTATGCCTAATCAAAATATAAAGAAATCTGAAAATTGAACATAGTGGAGGGATCAAAATCATAATTTGACATTTTCATTATAAACAATGATTTAAGACTTATTTATTTATTTAGTGCAGATTCACATAGTGGAATTTGTAATAGTTTGTGTGGGGAGATTCAGTGGACTGCCAAATATCCCAGAATTTCCCCCTAAAGGCCCGGAATCATTTAAGGGTAAGGTTATCCATTCCATGGACTATGCTGCCATGGATGATAAACAAGCTGCTGAGTTCATCAAAGGCAAACGAATCATTGTTGTTGGCTTCCAAAATCTGCGTTGGACATTGCAAAGGAGTGTTGTGCCGCAAATGGTATTGAAATTCATACTTTTCGTCATTAAACCAACAAAATTAATAGTTCTCAAATTGATCCGACTCAAATTAACCGAATCCGAAACTGATTCAATGGTGCTTGCAGGGGTGGAAAATCCATGCACTACAGCTCACTGGAATGTCCCTGATTATCTTCCATGGGGATTCTCTCTTGCACATATGTATCTCAGTCGATTTTCGGAACTCATGGTTCATAAGCCTTGTGAAGGGTTTCTCCTCGGTCTATTGGCTACAACTCTTGCACCACTGGTGAACTACTCGTATCCGACACTTGCACTTGAATCCGAATACATCGATTTCTCTAAAGGGTGTTTCTTTTTTTGACAGATATGCATATTTGAAATTTGTTGAGTGACACAAAAAAGAAACTTCGTTTGGAAAACATGGCATGGTTCCAACGCATAGCTTCCTCAAAGAAATCAGTTCATGTTTGATCTAAACTGTTCCGGTGAAATTCTACACAAAGTTGAAGAGGGAGAACTCAAATTGAAAAAGGCCCGAACTTCAGTTTCTGCGACAATGGAGTTTTGGTTGAAGGAGACAATGTACCAATTGAAGCTAACCTAGTAAACTTGGCCACCGGATTCAAAAGTGAACAAAAGCTCAAAGGCATTTTCATTTCCCAAACCTTCAAAGACTACATTACCGGATCCCTTGATGCAGTCCCTTCCGTTCTACAGGTCAGTTAGGCACAATAACATGTTGATACACGCTACAATTAGGGAGTGCATTCAGCCCAACTTGTCATAAATTTGAGTCATAAATTTGACTCGAAAGAATTTCAAATAAAATTTGAGTCATAAAATACGATTGTCAACGAATAACTTGTATTTTTTATTGGACTCGACTTGATCTAATGCCCACCCCTAACTACAA